GTCAAACTAACTGCACCAACAGAAGTGCATACACACCAACTCTCTCCATTTAGTAAGAAGTATTACTGTCCCCACAAGCAGATGCCTCATCAACAGATTAAATTCTGGCCACACACACATACACACTCGAATTCCCTTGAGTGTCATAATCGCTGATATTTGGAAAAAATTATTTTGATTTGTCCCTATTGTGCGTTAAATACGCATCTACGTGGAGCAGATTGGATGGGATGAGGATTTTAGAGACTTTGGGTTTCTGAACCAATAAACTGTGTATATGTGTTGAGAGAGATGCCCACATGTTTTAGAAAGCGAGTGTTGCGTCACCAAAACTCCTCATAATTTGTAGCCAGATGGATGTGCGCTCATGCCCCCTCCCTCCTCTGCCCCTTCCTCATTGGCTGCAATTTCATGGAGGGTTAAAGGGCAGAGGCTTCATCCCCACCGATGACGCGGCAAATCCAGGTGTGCATGTGCAGGCGTGTGTGTTGGGGTACAGTCTAATAGGATTATCAGGCTGCATGCACAGACAGCTCAAATCACCAATTTAAAAAAAATAAAATGGATAAGGCTGTAGCACCACCTGCTGGTCAGCCACTGTCATTACAGCTAAACGTTCAGCTGTAATGGAATTTTAAAATCACCCTTTTCCCGTTTTATCTGTCCTGATACTCACATGCTCACATCTGGGATGCAGTTTTCTAACCTCATAACAACTGGGAAAAATAAAAATCTCCTTTGGCTGTTTCATTTCCCCTGTCTTTCTCAAGGAGATAAAGCTGTGAAGAAATAAAGCTGATCAAATTTGTAGTGAGAAGTACCCTTTACCATTACTCTCAGGAGCTGGGAGCTACTTATGTGGTTTATAATTATGCTCCCCCCTCTGCACAGGTTAAAGCTTTCCAGAAAAGTCCACAAAAGAGGTTAAAGCCATTATAAGCCTGGAAAAAAGATAACTGACCACACAAAATAATAGGAATGATGGGGGGTGACATTAAAAGCAAGACAAGAAAAGAACAATGAAATAAAACAGCTCTGGTTACGATTCTTATGAATTATTCCAACATAATCCACAATGAGTTTTCTGACAAAAACGGCCAAAATAAAAAATAATATAGCTCTGTAGACAAGACCAAAAAAAGGTCAGGATTAAAAAGAAAGAATAAAATTAGTAAATATTCTACATCATTACTATCCCACATTACAATCACTATAGACCCCTGTTGTATATTCCTTTGAACGAGTAAAAGTTTTAATTGAACAACATTTCTGCGTCTGACAAGACGGGTGTGGTGGACGACGAAGTGGAATCGGCCAGAGAGACGGTGCTATTGTCCCGGCTCATGTGCAAAGTGCTCCGACTGGGCGTTGATGAGTTAGAGGGCGTGGAGCAGTTGGAGGGCGGGCCCGAGCCTGTACTGGGACTGCTATGATTGGACAAGGCGGAGAACAGCGCGTTCTTTTGGAGATTTTTGTTTTGCAGCTCGAGCTGTAGGTGCTGGCAGATCTCCTCGGGAAGGCGGTGATACTCCTCTTCCAGTTCCCGATCCAACTGAGACTTAAGCTGCAGACGACACAGAGGCAAAATATTAACACATTTTCATTTCAGCTACAACAGGAAATGACTGGAATAAAGAAACTGACTGTATATAGAAGATAGCTGTAACCATCGTATCTATTTGAAATCAGACATTACAAAAAAAGTATTCGGTGAGGCGGTAACTGAAGGTGAGAGCAGCCTCATTATTCACATTGACTTCTACAACAGCTGATCTCCTATTTGCAACCAGTGGAGTCGCCCCCTACTGGTCATTAGAAACAATGCAGGTTTAAAGAACTTCCGCACTGGTTTCATTTTTGTGATCCTAAAGTGAGAGTTTAAAAATAAACCCCTGGGCTTATCTTTGTCATTTTTTTATTTCTATTTATAGAGCTGCCACCATTGTTGCTGCATGTATTTCTAACTTTGCACAAGTTGGGGATTTTTTGCAGATCAAACTTTTTTAGTCTCGCTTCTTTTGCTCACCTGTGGAAGCTCCTCGTCTATGCGTTGTAGGACGTCCCGATGCCTCTGCAGCAGCTTGTCGTCTCTCCTGGTCTGCGCTTCCTCCAGCTGGGATACAGAAAGGAAAAAGAAAATGTTGAATTTAAAACAAAGACAGAGGAAGTGCTTTGAAGTTGATATCAATAATAGAAATATGAGCTATAAACAAGAAAAATGGACTGCTGGTGATAAAAGATGAAGTATGTGTGTGCTAGGGCGAGTACTTACCCCACGGATTAAAGAGACAGAATCTTGAATGTGTTTCCTGTTGATCTCATTCAGTTCCCTAAAGAGAAAAATATAAGGATGAAAAGAAGAGTGAGAAATTCAATTCTTTAAGATAAGGCTGACTTTTTCTTTACTAATGCTTAAAAAAAATTATTACGATTCAGCCTTGTCTTTTTCACGGTTCTTGGCTTCACTGATGCTGTTTAGTCGTTTCCTGTCCAGGATCTTCTGGAGTTCTTTCTTCTCCCTGCAGACACAGTGACACACAGATGGTCCAGACAAGGACTATCAAATCAATCTTGCAGATAAAGCAAAAATGAAATATACCATAGTAGCTAAAAGGAGATTGTTCCCCCAAACATCTGATACAAATTCCTTCTGACTCAGCTTTTTTCATTTGATCATTCATGTTAAATTATAATAACATAATAAAAAACAAAACAAAAACTAGAAATAAATCTAAAATAGAAGTGTTGTCTTTTTTTGGTTTCAGTAAGACATCTGGCTGCTGCATTTTACACTTTGTTGACTCAAACAAGTGTATTATAAAAAATTGGTGCAGAGCTTTTTACAATATTGGCCAAGCTTTATACACAAGGCACTCAGATGTGGTGTTTTCAGTTCGGTAGACACATATGACCCATAAGTCATATTTAGCTGCTGTGGCATCCAGCATTTAATATCCATTTAATAGTCCTTTAATGTACTGATTTCAGGAACGTTGGTGGGATTTTAAAACATTTAAAAAGACATACATCTTTGTCCGTGTAGCAGTGAACATTCACACTATGCCTGCATGATTGACACGCGCAACATCCCCCCTCCTCCAGTGGTAGAAATGGACTGACTTACTTCTCGCATAGCTCCTTGACCTTTTTCACCTGAGCTGCTTGGCATTCGCTGGCAATCTCCTTCAACTTCTGGTGGGCCTAGAAACACAGCCCAGAAAAGACGACCTGTTAGAAAATCACTGCACTTTCTACAACATTGCTTCAAATCACTGACATTTGTTTATGCACAGCTCTATTAAGGTAACACCACAGCATTTCAACCAGGTTGAGGTCTGGACTTTGATTGGAGCATTGTGACGCAACTACTCAGGCACTCTGTTGTAGGTTGTCTGCTGTGCCCTGAGCTCAATGACCTGTTTCGTGACCCAGTTTCAGCCAAGCTTTAGCTTTTGGACAGATGTCCTCACTTTTGTCTCTAGAATATTTTGGTGTACACAGGAGTTCATGGTTAGCTCAGTGACCGCAAGGTACCCAGGTCCTATTGCTGCAAAGCAAACCCAAATCATCACACCTCCACCACCATGCTGGGTGTGAGTCATAAACTTTAACATTTAACACGCTAACTGAGGTCTGCAGAGCCTGACATGAAGTTTTGGCAGTTTCTCTGAGCACTCCACAGTTTGAAGATCGTGCCATTGTGTTAACACACACGAGAATGCTCCAGCACAGAAAACTGACAAAACATTCGCTTTTCTGGAGGTTTTCACAGTACCTGATGATAAATAATCAAGTGCACTTGATTAGCAGCCTGGCATGTACTTACCAATTACAATTACCCTTTTAAATCTTATGGAAGTACTAGTTGTTCACAGCACTGTACATGCAAGAGCTGTGTGTGTGTATGAGAGAGAGAGATTACCTCTTGCAGGTGTGTTTTTTGCTTCTCTCTTTCGATTGCAAAAAGCTCTTCACGTAGTTTTAGGAGTTGCTGCATGTGAACGTCTTTCAGCTGATTCTTCTGCTTCTCCAGATCATCCAAGGCAGCCAACTCGCTCTGCACCAGTTCCTGGGACTCACTGAGGTACAATTTCAGGTAAGCTCTTTCACGTCTTCTACAAAGTATCTCCTTCTTAACACATTTCATTAGCATTCATCAAACTATTCTCCATCACTGGGTCCTTTTTTCATATTTTAGGATTTTTCCCCCCAACATCAGGGAAAAAACTGCCCAGTTACACCCCATGTCCATCCTTACCTTTTCTTGAAACTGCGTTGGAGTCGTTTCTCAATCTGGCTGCGTTTCTTTTGGGTGTCAGACTGAAGCTGGGTTTTCTGGTCCTTACTTAGATTAGACACCTACACAAACCACAAAAACCAATTTATTTTTGCAGCACAAAGGCAACAAGCAACAAACTGATACTTCAATTACTAGTTTCGATAATTAAATCCGCCTGTGTGTACCTTCTTCAGATGTTTCTTGCGCAGCTCTTTGAGTTCTTTTCTTTGTTTTTTAAGGAGCTTTTCATAATTTTTATTCTGCTGCAGCTCCTCTACAGACTGAACCTTGACATCTGACAAACACACAAACCAGCGTAAATGTTGCTGTAAACTTGTCATTTCCATCTTGGCCAGCCTGACCATAAAATCATTTTTGCACACTTAGCTGTGTGTGAGATTTCTGTGAAATGAGTGAAATGAATAAGCTGGGATGACCTTACCTGTTAGGACAGTACCTATGAGGTCCTCCTTCTGAGATTGTACTACGCACAAAGAGAAATAAACACAAGAGGAGACACACACACAGGGCGCATGAAATGGATGATGGTCAGATGCAAATAAACAGAACTTGATGCCACTGCTAGAAAAAAAGGACTGTAAAAGTCTTATTTTGAAAAGCCTGACGCTTTAACTTGCGAAAAACTGACATAGCGGACATGGATGAATTACACACACAGTGAAAGTAGGTCATTTCACAGCTTTATCAAAGACACATATGTGAACATATTTCGTTAGGTAATTTCAACAAATAGAGTCTTGGACCAAGACTGCACAGTGCTAATACACAGCAATACAGTTTCAAGATATCACAATTTCTATTACGCTATAGATGCAACTATAACAAGCAAACAGATGTGCAGGTCTGTAGAATCTATATACTTAATCATTTAGACAAGGTTTGTGACTCTACCTGGTGCAGGTAACTTGATGACATCAGGGGGATCTTCCTTTGGGGGGGGATAGGGTGCTGGGGAAGGAGAGGGGATTCCAAATCCTGGACTGAGTTCCCTCTTGTTCTCTCCTTCTTTGGGCTGGTTGGTGAGAGGCTGGGTGAAAATGACATGTAATGAATTAAAACCTACAATAAAAGTGTACAGGCGAAAGCAAAAATAGAGTGTGGGGGAACTAATGTGATCAACATACCTGTCTCACCTCACTGTTGTCTTCTATGAGACTAGCTAGCTGTGTCTCTCTCTTGTGCTTCTCACTGATATGCTTAATAGGGTTGGTGAGAGCTTCTGCATACTCTGAAGACACACACAGATATCCATGAAACAATATACAGGTTAGTGTAACTTATAGTGCTGTAAACATGGCTGACAAAATAATAATGTGAGAATAGTTTTCATTTTTAGGGTAGATTCATTTTTTAAGTCTGTTTGTGGGAGTCATGCTAGCCTTTGCCCTCCATTTTGCCATGCTAAGCTAGGCTAGCTGGTTGCTAACTTTGATACCGCTCATGTCTGTAGAGTAAACAGTTTAATTTCAGAAAAACAGTAAATAAGTGAATTTCAAAACTAACCTTAAACTATTAAAATTGTTCCTTTAAAGCCACATGTTGCCATGTATATCATATCATAACAACTAGCCAACAAACAGAGAAGACAAACATGTTAGCTAAAAGTTAGCTAAAGGTAACAATTTCAATTTCTACTTTGTTTTTTAGCTAAAAAGGTATGAGACTTAGATAAGTAAGTATTTCCACAAAAAGTTATTGCTCAACAGATACAATACATATAAAGAAAATGAAAGTAATTAAAAAATAATAATGAAAAAAATCCATATCCAAACACTGAAGCATGGTTTGACCAAATAATAAAACACCTTCATATGCAAGTGGGCTACAGACAAAACTATACACAAACATGTGCTGGCTAGGTCATCTTCAGGGTGGTCAGGTGACCACACAGCTAAATCTGCTACTAATACAGAACCTGTCAAATTATTGTTTAAAAGTTGCTTCTTTAAAAGTGTTATCTATAAGCTAGGTCAAGGATATATTGGGCAAACGTTGCTGAATGCAAGAAGAAAAGAGAAATGCCTCAAAGGTTTGTGGATGTAGTTTATTTTCAGCCTGTTTGTGTGGCATATTAATCCAGAGTGATGCTTGCATGGTGTCATTACCCTGGTGTTCATTAGGGATGTAGTCCTGAGCTTCAGTATAAACCAGAAGTGACGGCAGCATAAGCGGCTGGTTTAGCTCATTCTTCAGGTTGATGTAATGGTAGCCTAGAAGGAGGAAGAAATAAATAACTGACGTTAGTACAGATGGTAAAAGACCATGTACGATGTTCCCACTGAGTGCAAATAAAGTATCAGTGATGGCCTCTGATAGTGACTGTTTGATGCCAAGAGTGTTTATTTCCTTACCCGGCCTAATAGCCGAAACAGGGAGAATCCGGTGTCCAATGAACTTGCCGTTTTCCTCAAACACAGCTATTCTCAGAGAGGCCAGTGTAGGGAGGACCACCTGGAGAGTGTTGACACCACGAGAGAAGTTTAGAGAGCAAGAGATAAAGGTTTAAAAGATGTGTGAATCCTGCTCTGTTCGTCTGTTACCTTGTTAAAGACAAACATTTCATCATCCCACACAGGGTCCAGCGAGTTCCCATTAGATGTTTTGGTTCTGTACTTCCTTTTTGTGTCAGCTGGAAGTCCAAAAATGTCCACTTCCACATACACACCAACCTTCTTATCTGTCAGGAACTGGCCTGAGATCACCTGGTAGATGTTGGGTTACAAATTTGTCATTTTTTCACTCACGGGAGCAACGAAATTGCAAGTACTGAACTCAGATATGTCTTACTTTAATTTTGACCGTGTTAGCGACTATGCCGTCTACTATGCTTTCTGTGAAAGGGTCAAAGTGTTTGTCTGTCCTTCTCATGAACTCTGGCTTCAACAGGTAACCGCTCAGGCCATTATACTCAAACACACCCATGTTCAGCTGCATAGGAAGGTCTAAGAGTAAGGAAGAACAAAACAGAGCAGATATTGGTATCAACCAGCATCAGAATTGCAACCTTTAATTGACTAAAGACTTTGAAAGACAACCAAATTAAAACAACTTTACAAATACATAAACCACAGTAATGATAAATGCATATTATTCATAGCTATTAATAATTGTTAAGAGTGTTTAGATGGTGGCACCAGCTGTTTGCAGGGTTTATTTAGCATCTTTTCACTCAAAGCTTAATTTTAGGCCGGTTGAATTTGTCACCATTAAGGCCAGTAAAAAATGGGTTGTCCACACTCAGGTGCCAGTTCAATCCAAGCAAATACTACGATGGAGTGGCTTCAGCCTGTGCTGGGGGACAATGTTTGTGTGTGTGGCATGAAGATTTGTTGTCCACTCTGAGTCCCATTGCATGTAAAGCATGTAAAAGGGTGGGCCATTTATATGGATACACCGTAATAACATGGGAATGGTTGGTGATA